ATGGCAAAGAATCAAATGAAATTGTATCAAACATTAAATTACAACAAGAGAATGAACATTCTGGAGTGAGAACATACTGATGGATGAAATGGGTGGATACCAGGATTATATTCCTTTAAATATAAAGGCCTGAGGAAATTTTTTCAGTTCCCTATTTTCTTTGCTAACAGTCAGTTAAATAGACCTGTGTGACTGATACAATGAGTTTGTATAATTATTTCTAGATTTTTTTGGGGGGGTTTTGAGGAACACGTATAAAAATGGCAAAAAATCATTTAATTATTCTGAAAAGAGTTTTAAAAATCAGTGGAATGAGCCTTCTCACTCTCAACTACCCATTAAGACAGTGACAGAATATCTAGGCCCATCCACATGCCTCTCTAGCAAATACAGCATATTAAAATTATCAGCAAATTATCAGCAGATGTAATTTTGAAAGGTATAGATTGTAAAGTGTTTGAATGAAGTTTAGGTACATACACTATCAAGGAAAAGTTGTGGGGTTTTTTTTTTTTGAGTCACAGATGGGTGAGGGCTGATAAATGATGAAAAAAAAAATCTTTTGGCTCAGTATGAAAAGACTAAGTATTGTTTTCTAAAAGCCACTTATCAATCAAGATTTAAATGATTTACCTCATTCTTCCTCCTCTTCGTGTTGTAAGAAAAATGACTGTAGACTCAGAAAACATCGATAAGGCTGTAAAGATAAGTTAGACAAACAAGGAAGGAGAGAGGACATTAATATTTTTAAAATATTGCCTCTGCGATATGTACTGGTGCATTTACAGGTCACGAATCCTGAGGCTGGACTGTCATCAGTGTGAAATATGTCGCAGTTTGTCAGCCCTTGGTGCGGCTTGAGAGCTCAGTCCCCGCTCTCCAGAGCCAGAGGGCTGCAGCAGTGGCTGCAAAGCAGAGTGTGGAGCTGGACCAGCTGTGTTTCAGCAGTAAATTTTAGATGCCTGATGTTGCAGTTGTAACAGGCACTGGAAAGTCAGTTTTTTCTTCACTGCATCCTTGACTGAGGGTGTAAGGCTGCGCCTGCAACTATTTCTGTTCATGGCGAGAGTGCAAAAATAAGAGCCCACTGAAGCAAGACTAAATCCATGCTTGCATCTGGTCCTTTTAGCGCCTCTTTCCAAGTTAAAAAACAGGCTTTCCTAGCATGACAGTTGCATGTTTTTTAAGAGTAACCTGACCATTTTGAAGCTGCTCAGGCTTTTGCCCAAGGTGAGTAAGAAAGTCAGCCTCAGGGCCCCGCAGCATTAACGCTCCTGAGAAACGATGGAGCGGTAGGATGAGCAGCACCAAAGAGTCTGTCACCCTCACAGTGGAGATGGTTACTGAATATATTTGCAGTCTGGCAAGCACTGAGCTCATGACGTGTTGTCTTGGTGTTCCCCAGCACAGTAATCTCTGTCTATCCATCCATCTATCCAGCCATTCCTCTATCTGTGGCCAAGCAGGCACCCAGCTCAGTCAACCATACCTTAAAAACACCTTTCAAGTCTCTTGGTGACAATTCAAAGCTGGTGTTGTTCTACCTCTTTCCTAAGCCACAAAAATTCAATGCTTCCTCTTGAATGTGCTCGTCTTTGCCTGACCATTGCTTTCTCATCAACATAAAGTAGAAATAAATTATCTCATTAATACATGCTTAGTAAGTAACCCTGGAACAGCTGAAAAACAACTCCAAGGCACAGAAGACAGCTCTGTCCCTGAGAAGAAGGCTGCCCTACTTTTATAGAGCTATACTGCTTCATAAAACACCCCCCTAAGCCTAGGGAATATTTAAATTCCAATGTCTTTCCCATTCTATGGCCCAGTTTTAGTGATTTATTCCATTATGTACTTTTACATGAAACCTGCTGGTGAATACTGAATAGAACACTCTGTCTAATGACCACTTTGGCTTCTTCCCTGGATTGCCCTGACTTAATCTCAACTTTGTGCCTCCTTGAGTTCATGTTTGCCTTTGGTGTCATCAGACAATGAGCTCTGCACAGGCGGCTTGGCACAGCTTTACTCAGCTAATGCCATTCACTTGGATCTTGACAGTTTTACTGCAAAGGCTTGCAAAAGCCAGCGGTCAGACCTAAGTCAAAGTGCGTCTGCCAAAGTCCACAAAAAAATTGTTCAGGTCTTATCCCCGGGGATAACCAAGTAACACTTAAAGACTAAAGCAGCATGTTCTACAAAAACACCTTAAAAGAAAATGGTAAAAGGTTATATAAACCAAAGGAACATTTACATTAGGACACAGACCCAAGAAAAGTACAATAACCCATTGTTAGTTACAAATCATCTTGAAAAGTACATGCCAGCCACGGACACTAATGGCACAGAGGTACTATGGCCTCATTCCCTGGTACAATACCCACAGTATCTCCAAGTCAGGAACATTTGCCTTCAGCCTATTATTCTACGCTGACAATTCAAAGAGCGACTTTCCAAACTGATCCAAATAATTGTGTTATTCTCTGGTAAACTACAATGGGACATTGAATCGAGGAGGTGCTAGCTGTAGTCCAGAAGAAATCTTTTAACCCTGAAATATTGGACTTGTAATAGTTTTGGTGACCTGGTGTGGAGCTAGTGGTAGAGGCTGTACCTATGTTGCCCACAGATGAAGGATAGTCCCTAGGTCCCCCTACCTCCCTGCTGTCCATGTGGACCACAAAGTGACAGCAATTGTATCACCAGGTCCTGAGCTCTTTGACCTCAAAAAAAAAGTAGGCAAAACATGACCATCAGGCAGCATTGCTTTCCTATGACTTGTTATATATTCAGTTAAAACTGGTCACAAGTGAACCGCCATATCTGAGAAGTCATCACAGTTCAGCAAAGTTCCTGCTAATTGGAAAAAGGGAAATATAACCCCCATTTTTTAAAAGGGAAATAAAAGGGACCCAGGGAACTACAGGCCAATCAGCCTCTGTGCCTGGCGAGGTCATGGAGCAGATCCTCCTGGAAACTATGCTAGGGCACATGGAAAATAAGGAGGCAATTGGTGACAGCCAACATGGCTCACTAAGGGCAAATTGTGCCTGTTTAATTTGGTGGCCTTCTACAACAAGATTACAGCCCTGGTGAATAAAGAAAGAACAATGGACATCATCTACCTGGACTTGTACAAAGCACTTTACGCTGTCCCACACAACATCCTTGTCTCTAAATTGGAGAGACATGGATTTGATGGATGGACCACTCGGGGGATAAGGAATTGGCTGGATGGTCGCACTCAAAGAGTTGTGGTCAATGGCTCGATGTCCAAGTGGAGAGCAGTGACAGGTGGCACTCTCAGGGGTCACTGTTGGGACCAGTACTGGTTAACATCTTTGTTGGAGACATGGACAGTGGGGTCAAGTACATCCTCAGCAAGTTTGCTGATAACACCGAGCTATGTGGTGCAGTTGACACGCTGGAGGGAAGGAATGTGCCATCCAGAGGGAGCTGGACAGGCTGGAGAGGTGGGTCCATGTGAAACTCATGAAATTCAACAAGGCCAAATGCAAAGTCCTGCATGTGTGTCGAGGCAATCCCAAGCACAAATACAGGCTGGGCGATGAGTAGATTGAGAGCAGCCCTGTGGAGAAGGACTTGGGGGTATTAATGAACAGAAAATTGACTATGAGCCAGCAATGTGCGCTCACAGCCCAGAAAGCCAACCGTGTCCTGGGCTGCATCAAGAGAAGTGTGGGCAGCAGGGCGAGGGAGGGGATTCTCCCCCTCTACTCTGCTTTTGTGGGACCCCCGCTGCAGTGCTGTGTCCAGCTCTGGGGGCACCAACATCAGGACACAGACCTGCTTGATCAGGTCCAGAGGAGGCCACAAAGATGCTCAGGGGCTGGAGCACCCCCTGTGAGGACAGGCTGAGAGAGTTGGGGGTGTTCAGCCTGGAGAAGAGGAGGGTCTGGGGAGACCTTAGAGCGGCCTCCCAGTATGGGGAGGGACTCTTTATCAGTGAGTGTAATGATAGGATGAGGGGTAAGGGTTTTAAACTGAAAGAGGATAGACTGAGATTAGATCTAAGGAAGAAATTCTTTACTGTGAGCGTGGTGAGGCACTGGCACAGGTTGCCCAGACAAGTTGTGGTGTTCAAGGCCGGGTTGGACAGAGCTTTGAGCAACCTGGTCTAGTGGAAGGTGTCTGGGCCTGTAGCAGGGGGCTTGGAACTAGATGATCTTTATGGTCCCTTCCAACCCAAAGCTTTCTACAATTCTGTGATCCTATTCCTTCTCAAAGGGCTTTAGAAGGCAGGCAGCTGCAGTGATGTACCAGGGCTGTCCCCAGGGGTAATTTCTGTACACCAGTCCTGGAGATACTCTCGTTGCATTAATAAATCAAGATATTTCATGAGTAGACACTTCTGTTGTCTGTGACCGTGAAAGAGCTTGACATTCTCCTCCTGTAGATTATATTCAATAAGAGCATCTACACTGAGGACAAATTCAGTGGGGACAGGCTGGGATCACTTTTCCTGACAGCAGCTGCTGCCTCTTCCCTCTTTCATGGGACAGGCTGCACAGGCAGTGGGAACCAGGACCTCTTGACTAGGCAGCCAGTTTCCCTTTCTAGCCCACAGAAAAGGGTTCTTGAGAGCAAACTACCACCCACATCCGAGACATTGTCCTGTGGAGGAGTTAAACTATGCCCTTGAGGTGAATGTCTCCCTGCACTGACTGTAAGATGGAGGCTGTGATCAGGTCATAGAGATATTAATAGGTAGATGAGACTAATACTGACAAGGAGACTCTGAGAAGTAAGAAAGTGCCTGGGAGCTCCAAGGGGAGGCCAGGCCTTCATCAGAGCAGGGATGGTACTGACACATGGCAGGAGAAGATTTACCCACATTGTCTGGTAGAGCAGAACAACAGAAAAATACATATGCATCACTAGAAGTACCATGTCAGGGAGGAGAAGGGGCAAAAGGGATAAGATGTCGTACTGAGACAGAGAAATGTTGCCAAGTGAGTTTATTGAACAAGTGTTTCAGGGGCTAAGGAAATGAGACAAACTGAAGGAAAGTTTCTGGGGAAGATCAGCCCATGAGGAAGTCACATGTAAGGGAGCTCATGTTTCTGGGCATGCAGTCATACTCATGAGGTTGAGAGTCCTTCTGCTTTTCCTGGTGAGAAAAGGAGAGCGAAGGATTAGACACGGAGCATATTCAGTACTGAAGCCCTGTTCCTTACTTCACTGGCCCAAGTGTTGGCTTAGTGTTGCCTGGAGACAAAGAACAGTCTCAAAAGCCCAGATACTCCCATTCATTATTCCATAAAGGAAAGATGAAAGATTTCACACATTTGATACAATCCATTTGGTTTGGTGAACTACTTTCCACATGCCCTAATGAACCTGTGAAACAGATTACAGCTGGTGAAAATGAGTAAAATATCTCTGAAGTTAACAAACAGGAGGCCACGTACAGATCATAGAAACATGCCCTTCGCATTTTCACTTAAAACGCAAAAAAAAATCTTGCAGAAGTCATGGTGCACCAGAAATGTCCAGTATATGCCCATAAGCAGTTAATCAAAACCACATTACGACAACAGCTCTGCATCTGTAGTAGCTACAGGAACTGATCATGAAAGGAAGGGGTTTACTTTTGTACGTACAGATAAGCATTGCAGAAAAGACATCTGTTGCCATATGTTGTGCCATCAGAGCCGCAGTGGGGCATATATTCCATGGTGCAAATAGGAGAGGGTTCTTGCAAGTCCTTGCAAAGATCCTGCACACAGAAGATAGACATGAGTGTCCCTGCCTGAGAGCAAACCATGGCCCCCCAGCATAAGGGATGACACCCCACTGAGACATCAAACTGTCTGTAAAATCATAACAACTAACTCAAAGTTTCTTCCTGGTGGCAGATGTGACCTTGTACTGTTTCTGCTCACTGCCACATCTTTTCCTGAACTGTGACAGAGCAATGCGATGGATGTTGGCTGGTTTATGACCAGTGTGAAATTCCCAAGGGATCTCCTCAGGTCTGCACACCACCACCCCCCCAGTTTGTAACCCAGAGCAGAGGACAGTCCCCCATGAGTGTCACAGACACAGAACCTTACTCTTTGTTCCCATCGTTTCCCACTCACTTTTGCAGCATTTTCTTCACAACGTCCATTGCTTCTTTTGCCAAGATTGGTCCGATGTTCCCTAGAGGAAGGAGAGACCGTTACTAGCTGCAACCTTCCCCATTACAACCGCAGTGCAAAACCAAACCTCACTCCCACGTAGGGCACAGGAGATTTTTCAGATAAACTAGCTCAGCATTGCCTGCACCACACTAACAAGAACATGCCCCTACAGACCAGGCACATGCCTTTTAGAATAACACTCTCCCCAGTTGATGCATCCCTCTTTGAGGGGCTCTGGGGTCAAATGCCCTTGTCAAACAGGAACCAAAGCAAGCAGGAAAATGGGGGCTGATATACAGGACCCATCCAGCACACAGGTTTCAGAAAGCACCCTTGCACATTACTCGGCACTAACAGATCCAACCACCACCACTGTAAAACCCCCAGGGAGGAAAATGAGTACTTACAGATTGTGGGCACACAGCACACACTCACTAGCATAAGTGACACCATCGGTACCACAGACAGGATCGTAGATCATCGTGCAGACCATCGTCTGTCTGCCGTCCTTCAGCACCTGAGTCTGGTACTGGCTGCAGTCAAGCTGGGGAACAAAACCAGCAAAAGCTCTGGCACAGGCTCTGCTGAGCAAGGGCGCCCAGAAATAACCCCCCATGCTTATGTCTCTGCCTTTTAGGATCTGCCATAGGACGAATTATGGTTATGTATTAACTCATTCTTCATGGAAAACTAAAATTTCCTTTCTCAGCCTTATGCTGGAGAAGACTGAATCAAGGCTTGAAGGTGGACATTACTCATTTAACTTTGCATTTATCATGATGCCCCCATACCTTACTGATATTACCAAATGCAGCTCAAAAATAATCTGCAAATCAAAATGGCATGATTGGTGCACTCCCTGCAAGAGAGCTGACTGTGACCAAGGTGTTTTTCATGGCCCACAAGAATGGAGGGGAGATGTGCTGACAGGCCTTTTGTTACAACAGGACAGCTCTGAGCGTTAAAATCTGCCAGCAGGACTGACAGCAGTTGAAGCTGATTTACACTGGTTGAAGAACTGGCCTTGTGTTTTAGCACTCCCAGTTTCTCCAGTGTGGAATCTTCCTCCCTGATTTATGTATCTCACCCAGTCTGAGCACAGAACGTACTCGGGAAACAAAGGAATGACATTTCATAGTTTGTATAGAAATGAAATATCTGACTCAGGATGCTGACTCTTTCAAACACATGCTAATGAGATGGCTTTGTTCTTCTATTCCCCAGTGAGTGTAAATAGTTTAGAGCTGGCCAAATATAGTTAATCTGGTATTTTTACAAGATTCTTTGTTAGTATATATTAGATTATATTGCATTTACAAAAAAAAAAAAACAAAAACAAACAACAAACAAACAAACCAACCAAAAAAAATGAGAGGGGTTTGAATCCCCTGGTGCATTAGATATCAGCATTCAAAGCACAGGCAATTTTCTAATCTTTGCAGAACATTCTTTTGTAAAATGCAAGCATCCAGGAGGCAATGGGTACCCTGGGTCCTCTGCGTCCCCTTCTCATATTACCAAAACAGACTAAGTTTCTGCAGCAGCTATGATAGGCTGCTGTGGGAAAGGGATTTCTTCTTGTAAAGTCTTAAACCATTTATTCTACCTGTCTCACAACTCATTCTTCACCTCTCCTCTCCTCTTTCTTTTCCTGACTGCAGGCGGAAATGGGCAAAGTTCCTACTGCCAGGAGGGGGATACTCACCCGCAGAAGGAAGGACAGCACAAGCTGTGGCCCCAGTGCAGGCTACACCACCAAAACCAACCAGCATTTATACAAGCAAACAGCACCAGCTCAAGATCTTATTTTTCTTTAGATTTCACTTACTTGGGGAACTTCCTCTATGCACCTTCCATCATGCCTCTTGGCAACACTGGTTCCAAATTCACTGGAAGAGAAAGCAGAGTTAAAACTGCTCAACAAGTAACTGCTGAGCAATCAAGGGGTGACCTCCAGGGCTTACATGTTATGGGCACACAGCATACAGTCATTGCTGTAGGTGACACCATCTGTCCCACAGATCTCGCGCAGGATGAAGGGGCAGGCTGCGATGGCTTCGCCAGCTTTGGTATTGGTCAGGTATGTGCTGCAGTCAACCTGGGGAGATACAGTAACAGTGCTGGGTCAGCTGCTGGGCAGTGGAAGAGTGCCTCATCTGCAGTCTCTCCACTCTAATCCTCCAGATTTTAAAGGTTTCTGCCAGAGGAAAATTAGAATCATAGAATCATCTAGGCTGGAAAAGACCTTGAAGATGATCCCGTCCAACCACTGACCTAACACTGACAGTTCCCAACTACACCAGATCCCTCAGTGCTGTGTCGACCTGACTTAAACCCCTCCAGGGATGGGGACTCCACCACTGCCCTGGGCAGCCCATTCCAACGCCCAACAACTCCTTCCGTAAAGAAATACTTCCTGATATCTTGTATAAACCTTCCCAGGAGCAGCTTGAGGCCATTCCCTCTTTTCCTGTCACTTATTACTTGGTTAAAGAGGCTCATCCCCAGCTCTCTGCACCCTCCTTTCAGGGAGCTGTAGAAGGCGATGAGGTCTCCCCTCAGCCTCCTCTTCTCCAGACTAAACCCCCCCAGTTCCCTCAGCTGCTCCCTGTACGACCTGTGCTCCAGACCCTGCACCAGCTCCGTTGCCCTTCTCTGGACACGCTCGAGTCATTCAATGTCCTTTTTGTTGTGAGGGGCCCAAAACTGAACACAGGAATCGAGGTGCAGCCTCACCAGTGCCGAGTACAGGGGTCAGATCCCTTCCCTGTCCCTGCTGGCCACGCCAGTGCTGACACAAGCCAGGATGCCATTGGCCTTCTTGGACCCCTGGGCACACTGCTGGCTCCTGTTCAGCCGGCTGTCAATCACCCCCCATGTCCCTCTCTGACTGGCAGCTCTCCAGCCACTCCTCCCCAAGCCTGTAACGCTGCTGGGGGTTGTTGTGGCCAAAGTGCAGAAAAGGTTAGAGAGTCTTTAAGTTTAGTCTTTCATTAGAAATGAAATAATTGCAGTTGGGTTTGGTATTGTCTGCTAACAGAGGGAAGAAAGGAACAGCTGCCCAAAAAGATTCTTTTCCTAGAGTAGTATGTACGCAAGTTGTAAAACAAGCATTTAATTAACCCAAGGAATCTGATTTAAAGTGTTTAACATTAAGTCCAGCTTGACATAGGTAGCGAAATCCAAGATTTTGTTTCAGCTTTTCAAAAAAGCAGCAAGAACATTTCACCAGCTGTTGTTGCAAAAATATTTACAATCTATAAAATCTAACAGCTTAAATATTTGAGGATAATCAGACAGACACCTATTGGGAGTCAGTCTGCACTAACTAAGCATCACTGACACTTCACTATCATTTCGCATAGTTTCCCCAGTGCAGTGTCTATTACCCCTATTTCCCACATGGTCCAGGAGCAATTTAAAGCAAAACCAGCAATTTAACAATGTGTCTTTACTATAGAAAATATAGTGTGGTCCCCCAGGATGCATGAAACTATTTTTGGTGCTTTAGAGCTGCTCTGCATAAGCAGAATAAATGCGCGGAGTTATTATCAGCACATATTGTTACTGTGCAGGGTAATAAAGCTATTTTTGTATGCATACCTGAGAGCAGATTTTTCCTGACTGACCAGAGCACGAGGATTTTTTTTAACATGCCTATCTAGTGCAATGGAAATTCTAGCACTGAATAAATACACAGACATCTAACACAGCCTTCTGTCTTCCCCTCCTACTGTGTTAAAATGGGCTACATGGTTCTTGGGTTGCCTCTGATGATTTTGGTTCAGAGATCGGCAGGACTGAGACATTTTGTTTCTGAAGTCCCCGCCTGTTCCCATTCGTTCCTGCCCTCATGCACAGCACATTGACAGCAGCCGCTGTGAGCAGCTAGGGAGAAGCACAGCACCAGCATGAGCACCGTCCATCACCCCTCCACGCACCCAGGAGCACAGTGGGTACACTGAGCCCAGCCAGGGTCTTCTGGAGACTGGACAGAGTAGGAGATGGCGCTTATTTTATAGCTAGTTACACTTACAGGAGTACTTTCATCCTTGCATCTTCCCTCATGGCTTTTCTTAACATGAGTCCCGTGATCTCTGAAAGGGAGAGGCTGGCGTTAGCGTGCTCACTGGCTAAGCCCTGTGACACCCAGGTGTCACAGAAAGCAAACCAAATTCAGAGACAATATGATAAAGGAAGCATCTGATTGCCTAATGAACCAGCTTCTCCTGGTCATTAGCAAGCATAATCCTAAGTGGTAACAGACCTATCAGGTCTCCCCAGTGTGTGCTATGCAGCAGCCTCATCTTTCCTCTGTCCAAATACCACAGCCCTCATAGTGTGCTCAGATTGAGAGCTGACTCTCCCACAGCTCCCCTGAGGAGCACAGAGCATCAGGGAACAAAATCAAGGTGACAGGAACTTCAGGAGGTTGAAACACAGAGAGACATACAGATATGTTGGTATCAAAAGAAAAGCTGTCAGGAGCACTAACCATGGCTAGTCACTTCAAAAGAGAGTCCTATGTACAGTACTTACAGGTTATGGGCACAGATGCCACATTCGTTGTCATAAGTAAATCCGTCTGTGCCACAAACTGGGAGCAGGATCCTTGGACAGGCTATCTTGGTTTTACCACCCTTCATCACTCTTGACTGGTATTTACTGCAATCAATCTACAGAAAGCAGGAGTGTCAAACCTGGGGAAGTCCTTGTTCTCCAAGAAAAACCCCAACGTAACCTCCTGCCATGGCTTTTATTCTGGGATGCTGAGACAACACTAGTGCTACATCTCAGTTCTCTCAAAACCAGGCTAAGCCAGTTCTGCACGAATCCTCTCATGCCCAGAGGGAACTGCACAGTTTGTGAGATAGCAGATCACTAAGGTAAGTAGCTAGATCAATCTCAAATGCAAGATATGCCAGAAAAGCAAAAAACAGATAAAAACATAATCCCCTTTTCATTCTGCAGTATAGATATAAACAAAACACCAAAATCATAAAGGAATTTGGATTTTGCTGACAACGCATTTGAAGAGCATCCTCAAAGGAAGATCTAAGCCCAAACCGACCGATTTCCACATTTATATGTTGGCATGTCCTAGACACCAGCTCTAGAAATTCTCAACTGATATACTCAGATCAAAACTTCAGGTGTGCTCCATATACCAGAATATATCCCCACCCCGAAGGTTGGTGTAGGTGTGAATTCATAATGAAAACTCTGTGCCTAGCTCCTATGCAGCCCATTTGCCAGGGCTGTGTGGGCAAGGAGGGCCCAAGGACACCTGCCGCAGGACAGATGGGATTTGTAGGAATCCTCAACACAAGGGGATGACAAGACTTAACAGATATGTGGAGAAAGCCAAGCTTCAGGCCAGCTCACTTTCAGAGTAGATGTAGCTTCAGGGAACATTTCATTTGATACAGCTAGGAGGAGAAATATGTCTTATATTGAATACTTACCTCAGAAGTCTCTGGTCTGCATTTTCCCTCATGCTTCTTGTTAACATGGGTCCTCTGTTGTCTGGAAGAGAGAAACAATAAAGTCAAGGAACTAAATGCTTAACCTCTTGGTCACAATCACATGCAAAATGAAGCAAACCATGGCTTCAGACTCTATAATAGAGTGTATCAGAATAGCTACATTACTTTACAAGCTCATCACGTCTTCTCATAACATGCAATTTAAAACAATATTCTGAATTACTCCTTCCACTGCCCAGCCCACAGACTAAGCTGCCACTTGACTCCTGAAGGTTTCCCCTCATGAGCACAAAGAAGGTAGCAGAATGAAACTCAAGGTAAATCCAAACCCAATTCAGTTTCTAAAAGACTTGAAGAAATAGGCATAAGCAGAAATGCAGAAGGATGGTTCTCGGGGCTGCAAAGCATTGCTGGCTACTTAGGAGTACTCTGTGTATGGCACTTACCCATTGTGGGCACAGATCCCACATTCATTATCATATGTAATGCCATCTGTGCCACAAACAGGATCCAGGTTCCTTGGACAGGATACTAATACTTTGCCATCTTCAGCAGTTACTGTTGGGTACTTACTGCAGTCAATCTGTCAAGATAAGGAGAATTAGCTCTGGTGGAGCCCTTGCTATGCGAGAAATGTCGATGCAAAACCTTTTCATCCTCTATGTCAGCCTCCATTTTTTCTGCAACAGGACAAAGCTCTGATACACTAAAGCTAAGTCTTCAATCAGAAATGAACTTTCTGAATATTATCCTACTTCTCTAGGAGTCAAGAAAAAGAACTATCTTGGAAAAGAGATCCTTGAAGCAGAACATGTACAAAATTTGGGGCCCATTCTCATTTAAAAAAAAAAAAAAAAAAAAAAAAAAGGGTCTTGAATTTAGTTGGAAATACTTTTCACTAGCTGGAAATCTGACTAATACTGGTTTGGTTTGTGTTGTTTTTCTCCCCACTTCTCCAGCTCTGTGATTACTTCAAATTCCCTGTAGTTAAGCACAGGATTTGAAAGGATAGAGGAAAAAATGGTTATCTATCAGTCGGAGAACGGACTTTCTACATCACAGAATTTTGATGCTGAAATATAGAAGCTTCTCTTCCTGAGGCACCAGACTGTTGGCCTCATACAAATATACAACGAACTGTAAGTATGTATGCTTAGTGCTCTGTGTCTGTGAAAGCAATCAGCATGGGAGTTTTGAATCCCCACTGCAAAGGGTGGAAACACTTGTGATCTCCGGAAAGAAAACTGCCGACCTGCACAGCACGTTGGCAGGTGAAATCTTGGGCCTCCCCTTCCCCTGGGCACAAAAGCCAGCTGAGTACGTTGGGAAGCAAGTTCTGCAGCACTGGCTCACTGCAGCTTCTCATTTCATATCCATCTCCTTTCTCCTTCATTGGTTTGGTGTCATATGCATGGGATGACTCTCTCTTTGAAGCATGGACTGGAACCCTTGTAAGCCTTGTCATACAGTCCTCTTACAGTTTCCTAGAGAAATCTGTAGGGTTCTCAGGATTCTATTAACAGCCCTAAGAGATGGATTTTTAATTTCTATTGCACTTACAATCTCCTGCTTGCATTCTCCATCATATAATTTGCTAACATTGGCGTCATGTTCCCTGAAAGAAATAAATGCTTTGGTTAGGAAGCCTCGAGAATAACTTTCCCCACTAGACACTAACTATTGCACCAAGAAAGCAAGGTCCCACTCGCCTTGTGGGACACTACAACTGCTTGACTTGTCTGAATGCACCCCACAGATGGTAGTAGCAAATGCATAATACTTCCATAAGACATGATAATTAAGTGTTAGGAGTAATTAGGTGTTATAAATAACACCTTAATCTGTTCATGGCTCTGCTCGGGATTGTCCTCTGATTTGTTTGTGATTCCCCTCATGAGCACAGACAGAAAACAGGGAAGAAAACTCAGGCTGGCTAGAGAATTACAAGCAGTCAGCTCCAAAGAGACCTACAAAGATACCTGCCTTAAGAAAGACTAGTGTTTGACAGATGTGCTTCTGAGAGCCTTAGCTATTGCTAATTAGCCAGAAGGATTTCTATGCAGAAGACTTACACATTGTAAGCACAGAGCCCGCATTCGTTGTCATAAGTGAAGCCATCTGAGCCACAGACTGGTTTTAGATTCCTTGGGCATGCTACCAGGACATGACCATCTATTTCAGTTCTTCTATACCTACTGCAATCGATCTGTAAAAATAACAGAAATAGAGAAAAAAAAAACACCACATTTTCAGTATAAATATATGACACTCCTATGTAGCTTGTTTATTCTCCCTCAGCTTTTGGGGACAAATCATACTAATTCCACTATCAAAAGTGGAAGCCAGAGTCAGTTCTGTGGGAATTCTGTCTTGCTTAAAAAAAAAAAAAAAAAAAAAAAAAAAAGGCATAGCAAGAAGGACTGTGGATTTTGTGAGGTCCTTCATAAGACCCTGCTGGAGCTATCCAGGTGGTGAGATCCAACCTTCAGCCAACACAACATTTTTATTTTATTCCCAACTACATAGGCTAGAAGTAGAAAATGGCAGAGAATTAGAAAAGTGCAGAGACATGGTACCAGGTAGCCTCAAAAAACCCTCTCGTCTTTGGTTATCATCAGATTTTAATCCCCTTTGGGCTGTGCAGACCAGCTGTGCATGTTCTCTTTTCCTTGAGTGGTGTTTGAACTGTCTCCTTTTACAGCCAGCTGAAGTCTTCCACAGATTTTGTCTTACCATGACAGGTTTCGGGCTGCATTCTCCATCATGTGCCTTCTCCACACTGGTCCTGTGTTGCCTAGAAGAAAGCAGACCTGTGTCAGGGATAGCAGAGAGCAGCATCACCTTGAGGCTGGCAGTGTCAGCACCCAGCTGCTAACTCACATGCTCCTCCGCCCAGTCCATCTTTGGGGGATGAAGCTGCTACCCTTACCTGGAGGCCCTGTCCCTGCAGCTTCTGCTAGGCTTCCAGCACTACTCACTTGTTGTAGAAGCAGATCCCACACTCATTGCTGTACGTGGTGCCGTCGGTGCCACAGACTGGTTTCAAGTTCCTCGGGCAAGCTACCCAGACCGACCCATCCTTGCCAACGCCACTGGGATACTGGCTGCAATCAACCTGCAAAAGCAGCACAGCATCAGCCCCAATCTTGGCTCCCTCATGGAAAGAAACCCCCATGCAGCCTCCCACCACTGCAAGCACAGTGCCTGCAGCTCCTACCAGGAGGTAAATTACAGGTATTATTTTGAATCTGCTCAGGCAGTCAGGAGGAGCGAATCTTCTCTACAGAAGTTTCTGATTATGCTTTCCTGCTGGGGTCCAGGGGAAGCACGACACAGAGGAAGGATTGCTGTGCGTGAGACAATGCCTAATGAAGGCAGCTGGTAATTGGGAGCCTGGCTGAACACCAAAGCCCCTTAGCTCAAAATCGGATCATTTCAAATCATGCTGCCGTCTCTGGTGAGTTACAGGAGTCTCGTAACTGCGTGGGAAGAACCTGCAGATAAATCCACTGCACAGACCCTGCTGTTTTCCTCTCTATGACACGGGTATAGGAAACTTATTCAAGGAACACAGTTCTGCAGGTCATACTGTATAGAAAAAAAAATATCAGAATCACAGTCTTTGATGCTTTCAAGCATATAATCTTAAAACACTATTCCTCACAAGGAGGTAATCTACTGCCTTTGGCTTAGAGTAACTAAATTATGTCTAAGAGTTAATATAATAGGATTGTATAACTATGTTTCACTTTATTTAATGAACTGAAAATATTGTAAAAAAATGGGAGATCTTTTACTTTCTCATGAAATTGGCAATATCATTCCATCACACACTGGGAAATATTATTTGAACAGCTAAGCTTTCATTAGATTTAATCCACTTGCTCATCAGGTAATTACATACTGTTTGTACTTTACCAGAAACCTGGAATAGAACAGAATAAACAGATCTGTAGCTCACCTCAACTCCAAAGGCAATACCTGACCAAAAAAAATGGAGACAGAAAAGAAAAAAAAAATATTAATATGCAAAGAAGATAAATGTCAATCTTTTCATGAAACTGTTAAATTCAGTGATAGTTGTTGACCAGTTTATTTGGTTTAGGAAAATACGGAGTTTTACATTATGCCAGTAAATGGTCATAGCATGTATTAAAAGTTAATAAATAAAGTTTAATTACACTTTTGAGGGGAGATAAAACAGGGGAGAGCACATACATTAAATCCATCCCTAAGATGTTACAGGGAAGCGATACAGGTACTTTCAATTCTCTAGTCCTGGATTTTAACGTCTTTTAAGAGACTTTATATTTGATTTTCAAAAGTTTGGACATGAGTGTTTAGAATGACTGCTGACTGCTGACATTGTTCATCTCCGAACACATTCTTCTCAGTTACCAGGAACAGCACAGTAAACTTACAGAGCAATCCTCGAGGTTAAAGTTTGCATTTATATTGCTCACATGGATAACGATGTGATTCTAATGATTTCTAACAGTTTTACTTTGCCATGGTACACAGTTACTCCCATGTGCAAGCTCCTGCCCTGCACTAGGACTGCTCCTTCAGCGGTTTGCTCCTACAAACCAAGATGAAAACAGTCACTTTTATGAGGTTTGCTGAAATCTCAGTCTTGAAGTCTAATTTTTTTGCTATGCTCTCTCAGGAAGAACATTTCTTCATGGAATAAGGTTCTCCTCCAAATTACAAGACTCAAATACTTTTACCAAAATGAAAAGTCAACTGTGATTCAGCTGGATCAATCTCTGCAACATCCCAAGAAATACTCACCTAAGGAGCAGCAAAGGGCTAGAGCCGCCTTCACGAAAACCCCTGTTACCTTCATGGCAGTCAGAGGTACCGCTCCAGTGCAGCCTGCTAGCTCTCTGTGCAGGAGAGGAAGATTGCAGGTAGGAGCAGGAATATATAGCATGCCACAAGATCAAGTGGTCCCACCTTATTAGGTAACGTTCCAAGTCTGTCATCAACAATCAAAGCCAAAAATATATTTACCCAGCTCTAGATTTCTAGGTAATTATTGACACAGGCTTATATGCCAGGAAGGGGCCTTTTGCACGGCTTGAGGGAAGCGTGGAGCGTGCCAGGACCCCTCTCCTCCCGGATGGATCTGCCCCAGCCCTAGCCTGTCCCTCCATGGCTGCAGCACGTTTGAGACTCCCATCTACCCTGCAACTGGCTAAATGTAATTAAATCTTTCCCCTCCTCCTCTGCAGTTTTCATCAGAGCTGACAGCTGACAGCCAAAACCCTTGTTATTCAACCTCAGAGCATGATTTTGTACTCTCCACTGCTGTATTTCATCCCAGTTTGAGTCCAGGTAATTTCAGCCCAGAAGGTCACCCTGTGCTCTGTGGGAGAAATTCTGCTCTTCTGTTTTAAAAAACTCAGCAGTGCCCCACTCCACGTGCCAACTTTTTCTGTACTACAGCAAGGAGTGAAAATATTAAGTTTGGTTCAAAAATCCATCTTTTTCACTGATAACTCCCATAGTACCCTCTGCTCATCTGCTACCATCTTCTCCATGGGCAGTTCCTGACCCACCGCACCAAGCCTAACTGATGCCATCCCACAGGGCAGCAGACAAAGCGCTTTTGATGTCTGCACAGACTAGATGTACTCTATTTCCTTTATCTAGGAAGCCAGCCAACTCTGCAAAGATTGATATTAGCCTACATATGGCTTCCTTCCTGAAAATTCACTATGTACATTATTTCTTTACACTTTATATCTTTAGTTTTCTTCAAATTGTTCCTGAAGGTTTGCCCACTATTAAGGTAACAGAACTTGGATTGGTCCTGAAGGCTTTTATTGTCCTTTATTTAAAGGGTTTTGACAATTCTTTGCATTGATCTCAATCCCTGTCTTCTCAATTGGGATCCTAAATTCTCCAAACTTCTCAGTAACTTTTAATCTTTCAAATTCTGTACTTGGTAATCAAAATCCTTACTTGCAGGTCTATTTTTGACATAATTTAAACAGAGTGAGCTTGTGTTGAATCATCCCAGTTTTATTTTCTAAGGAAAGGATATCTCCAACATCTTTCTCACATGAAAAGCAAATCCACACCACCACGATTTCGGGGATTACCTAACGGAAAATTCTATTTGCTTTCATATCCATGATCTCTGATAATACTAGTATTTTGCAGTGTGCATCTGCAAAACTAAAGTCTCCCCAAATGCCAGCATTTACAGCTACATTAATCTCTAGTGACATTAGAGAGATCTCTATTCACATACCTTGTTTTCATTTCCTTCCACCTGAAATTCAGCCCCAGATGTCTCCTGCCCTGTCCCTTATCTCAGTTCCATGAAGTGTCAAGGATTCCAGACCTTTGGACCAATGCAGGCCTCGGCTACAAGGACCTCTGTTCACCATGATTACAGTATCCCTCTCTCAGGGCTTATTCCAGCCAAGACTACCATCAATTAATGCTTCCTGGCAGAGGAAAATGTATCTTGACAACTTAATTGCCAGTCTCTGTAAAAGCTGTCACGGTCAAGCAAATTCCTGCCAATGTCCACAGAGATGACACCTGAATGTTATAAAAAAGGAGATATTATTTGCAAACCAAATCTGCAGTTAAAATAGATTGACTCAGCATGTTCTGTCAAGACCAAAGCAATTCTCTTCCAACTAAGTTATTAGATTTGGGGAGTAGTTTGCAATAGGAGACAGATTAAAGGGCCAGAACAGCAAACACCTGTTAAGGATCTGGGGAAGGAACTGGGATCCAGAAAACACCACCACTGCTATAGCACGTCTGCTGTCCGCCACGTCAGCCAAGACACCTACTGCTCCACTTTGGGCTCCTGCCCCGTGCACAAGGAAGATCCATGCTGTGACCTTACAAGTGAGCCACCTGCTTCACAGAGAGCAATTCAGCAAAGCTTTTTTCCCCCAGCATTTGTCTGACAGGACAGAGCCTTTCAGGACCAGAGCAGAAGCTACCTCCCACCCAGGCTGGACAGGGAGATGCAGGAGATGGAGACCTTGGGTTGTCCCCATGTGTTTAAACCCCTGTGTTTGTGCAATGCCCACTTGCAGTCCTGCTGTGTTGATGTCTGCCTGTTTATTTTCCCTTTGCCAGGCATGCCAGGAGTGGGAGGGTCTGCAAAGTGCACCTGGCCGAGCAACCCTGAACGTGAGCACTCTGCTCCTTTCTTCTGCTTTCTCCAGGTTACCTCTAGTGCCAGCTGTGAATCATCTGTTGCCATTTCTGTAGAATTTCACTGAGACAGGCCAAGAAAGGAAGCAACTCCTTTGACACCAGAAGGCAGTAAAGCCAACTCACCTGTTTTTCAGCAATATATGCAGAAATTGTCCGTGCTTCCCATCCACAATGCAAGTGTGTGATTATCTCTACACCTAACACTAAATTGCTTCTTTTGGAACCTTCACTGTCAAGGATCTGGATTGTACTTAATGAGTATTGCATTTATATCTTACTATTTTCAGGGAACAATTTGAGCAGAGCTGCTCATAACTTCACACAGGGGAAAGAATTGTAAGATCTTGTGTTGCAGTCCCAGTGGGAGGGCTGGGCAGCTGGAGGGCTCCTGCAGCAGACTGGAGCAGGGAGAACCCAAATAAATGGCCAGCACAAGAGCTCCCTGTAGTAGGGATACCCTTGCAGGAAAAGACAGATGTGCTAACAGATGCCAAAGAGAAGCCCTAAAGAAAGGAAAGATGAAAGTCCATTCAGCAGTCCCAAGGTTTATCCCAGACAGGCCATGGAGCAGAAGTTGTGATAATCAAGGCAAATAGGAAACTCAAAGGTACCCATACACAGCAGTTTCTAAGTGGGAATGAGTGTCACAGAGATGTTGAGAGAACTAGAAAAGAGCACTCTGCAGCAGACTCAGAGGAGCTTCGCTGCACAAATGGCATCGGGCTCTCCATGTCACAGCTCACTCAGTTCTTGAAGAAGCAAATGCCCCTAAACTGTAAGATTTCTGATACCATCTATAGCAGCAGACTGCGAGAGGTCCCCTGGCCAGACCACACCATGCTGCCTTGTAGGGGTTCTCCCTCCATGGTGGGAAGAGCAGCAGGGAGGCAGTGGGCAGAGCTACCAGGCTCCAAACGGACAGACTGCAGATTGAGAAACACCATGGTGAGTTCAAGGTCTGCTGAGGCATCTACCTGAGTCAACAGTCCTCGCTATATAGCAAGAACAGCATTTACACGTCCTGAAGAATTGCATAAGTACCTGACACCTTTTACAGAAAAAAAAAGCAAGAGATTTAAGCTCTCTGCAGAGAGTAGTTTAGCTCAAACCTCAACTGTGTTGAGAGACCTGGAGACCAAAGCTGTCAATTCATAATGCCAGTTTTGCAAAACCTCAGAAACTGCTATGAACCACATGGAGTCTGTGGATGTTGGCAAGAGACACCCTTAATAACGTGTAATTTACAGCAAACTGAAGAATCACTAGAGTGCTGGTACCTTTCCAGTTTTGTAGAGTGCTGTTTTGGCGTTATTACCGTGTTAGAGGGCAATGCAAAGGGTAACCAAGAGCAAATATAAAAGAAAGGGTAATAAATCCCCAATACCTCTCAAGCCCTTGCCCTCTTCTCCCCAGGAACCTCATAGCAATAACGTATGGCATGGCTCACACAGAGTCCCGCCGGAGCTCCGCTGCACACAGCAGCGCTCAGGACAGACATCATCAGTGAGCCCTCGGAGTCACCTGCAGAAAGGGGTGGAAAGCAAGAAAGGACTGACCGGGCAGGGTGCTGAGAGCGGGAAGGAGTCACCATTGCTCCTCTAGTAGGGCTGACAACAACAGCGCAGGCAGTTTTAGCAAGTCACTGCTCTGCACCTTCTCAGCAGACAGGTTTGGAATCTGATTAATGATCCCTTATCGCCAGCTGTGATTTTTATGGATGATAATTTCTGCTGGCAGCAGGAGACATTCAGAAGGTGCTCAAATACTGAGAGAAGAGGTTACTAGGGCACAGTCTTCATCAATTCATTGCTTTTGGAGCTCGGTTAATGTCGGTTTTATGGGTGATTATTTCAAAACCTAAATACTTGAAATCACTAAAACTCATAATAGCTTTCAAGTGCACTGATTTTCATTTGCAAGAATTTATTTTAAGCCACAAATTGTGCACTGTTTTTATGAAATCATGTAGATGTCCCTGCACATTATTTTAGCTGGAATCAGTGAGTAGACATCATCAGAGAACATTTTTACTGTCTGATATTCATCATTCCCAGGCTCCGTAAATAATGTTCACTTGTTTCATCACAGTCCAAAGACAGACAAATTTGCATCCCACAAAACAGCTAACCAGGACCAAACTGGTGACTTTCACCCTGCATGACTGCACTTCATGAGGGGATTTTCCACATAGAAATAGGCAGTAATAATTTATTTCTAAATCATAGTGTTTGCTCATGTTAGAAATCAGCATACAAAATATTAACAACTACTTATGTCAGTGTCTGCTGATAATAAAACCTGATTTTATTATTATCAACAGAAATAAAATGTGATGCATGCGTAAGCATTTTGAGAGTTTAAAATCAATTCTCATTAACTGCAGTAGAAAAAAAAAAAGGATTTGATAACTTAAATGAAAGAAAATCTGTGTCTTTGGTAGGAGTGAAATTAATTGGTATTAGGTAAAATCCTGCCAAAAATCTGAAAGAAAGTCACTTCAGCCTTATCTGTAACAGAAAGTGTTTACAGATCAGGTCACAGCTAAAATGGACTCAAACACTCTGTGTGTTCACTCAAGGTCTTCTGGAAATGTCCTGCAATAGAGTTTATTCAAATAAAAAACATATTTGCTTTAAGTAACAGCTATAAAAGAAAGTACAGGAAGTGCGTGCAAACTGCCAGCAGATTTCTA